TCCTCTCCTCTCCTCTCCTCTCCACTCCTCTCCTCTCTCTCTCTCTCTCCGTCTCTCCCTCTCTCCCTTTCACGACTGCCACGGGTTTCGGCTCTCGGCTCATGGCTCATGGCTCACGGCTCACGGCTCTTTCTCGTCATCTCCGAAGTCTCTTTCTCAAACGCGTTTGCACGCCATCGTACCGCTCGGTGAATCGCGTTCGACCGAATCTTTTTTTTCTCTACCCCCGCCCTGGGCTCCGTATCTCCTGTTCAATGAAATGTACGAAACAAGAGAAGGATTTCGTCGAACGTCCGGCAAAAATCGGTGTTCTCGGAAACCCGTTGCGATACGGCCGCGATCGAGCGTCGCGATCGAACGCGAAACGAGAGAAAAACCGAGAATCGAAAGCCGTCGACTGTTGAAAATTAACGAAGCCGATGTTACGACACGAGCCGAGTAAAACAGCGACCGAGTAATTGTCGCTTCGATCCGCGCGCAACGAGCTGCTAAAAGTAAGAGGGGGAATTTGTACGTTCGAAAGAAAGACAGCGGCGAAAAGCTCCTCTGGAGAGGAAGAGAGACGCGGCGATGGCGGGAGAGAAAGAGAGAGAGCGAGAGGGAGAGGGAGAGGGAGAGAGAGAGAGAGAGAGAGAGAGAGCGAGAAGGGACGAAATACGGAGAAAGAGAGACGGAAAGAAAGACAGGAAGAAAGTCGATGTTTCCTTTCTCGATAGCGAGAATTGAAACCGGTCGCCCGTCGCATTTCCAAGTTTTTGCTCCCAACTCCCAAGCGTTCGCCGTGACCAACGGTTCATCGACGACGGGTCTAAACGGGTCATCTCCATTTGTCTTCTCTTCGTGGTCTAAAAGTTTGCTCGAAAATCGCAAATATCGACGATTATCCGTATTCGAAGAGATCGACCATCGTCGCGAACGAAAAGTGGGATCCGGACGTTGAGCTCGCCTTCTCTCGAACGCGTCGAAAGCAGAATTCGGCGATATTCGTTATTCTATTTATTTAATCGAAT